GGCGTCTCCTTTTCGCTGGTCTTGCTTCATTCTTGTTTTCTCTATTATTTCTCTTTTTTATTTTAATATTTTGCTATTTTCATGTTACTGTTGCTCATTCCTCTTATTTCTCAAAAGAGTCTGTCCTCTTCCAACCATGTTTGCATAATTATTTGACTAGGCGCTCACTTTCCTTCCGATATTGGCAGTTTTGTGCCATCAAATCTTGTACCGAAGGCGTAGGCTGTCATTTTCGATCTTCTTGACGAATTCTGTAGCAGTTTTCAGCCGACTTTGTGTGGGAAGCATGAAAGCACCGATTAAGTCATGTGTTGCCCACTTGAGTGGGCAAAGTTGGGCTCACTTTTTACACCTCCCTCTTCTCCTCTCTTCTCCCCTCCAGATACGCGGGGCTGCACTGCAAACTGCTGATTGGCTACGCCAAGGGGGCCGAGTACGCGGCCGGAATGCGCTTCTCCGGTCGCCAGGGCCAGCACTCGTGGAACGCGGTGCTGGTGCACGGCACTTGGCGCCTCGTTGACTGTCACTGGGCGGCGCGCCGGCTAATCGGCAAATGTGCCAGCGTGGAAAACGTGCGCTACGGTCTCGACATGTTCTACTTCCTCGCCAACCCCGGCCAGTTCATCTACACACACTTTCCACATGATAAGGACTGGCAGTTGCTAAGGCATCCGATCTCACTTGAGGTAAGTGTCCGATGTTGGTGGACTTGGGCCAAACGACTGTTTGCTCATGGAAGAGGGGCACATGGAGACAGAAAAAACGTACCGATCTATCTTCATTTATTCTGGAGTTTTATGATCACTCTTAACATCAAATGTCCTTTTCGATAAGTGGACTATAGAGGGACGATCTCCGAAGAGGAGCAAAGCTTAGTTGCGGAGGGAACTTAACGTAGGAAAAAGAAAAATGACAAGTGGATAAGGACACTGCACGGAACGAATAAACTGTAAGAAAAACAAGAAAAATTCCAGGCATACGGCTTCAGGTTGCCTTTCATGACTGACTTTAGTTCTGTAGAGGTTGTTTGACCTTGTTTTCGCAACTTGGTCACATTGTCAGGAAGACTTAGAGACACGCACCTTGTCCGGAGTCCATTGTATGCATCATCATTTCCAAATTCGCACCGTGGACGTGGTACATTCCCAGACGTTTCGCCGGTATCGTCAGTGAGTCTCGCCATTCTTAGCAACACACATCAACTCGATTCTTTGACCAAACGTGTACTAAACAGTTTGGAGTTAATGAATATTATGAGTCTGAGGCTAGGGTATAGCAATAATTTGACTAAATAGTTGGAATGGTTGATAGCTTTATTCCTGCAAAATAATTTATCCTTTGGGCCTAATTGAGAATATCTTTTTACAGAGTAATAGATTTTTAGACAGACCAGTTAGAAAAAGATAGACAGGCTGGGACCTTTTCCAATGTCCTAATTTTGCTATCATGTCCTCTCCCTAAGAAGAGAGGGGGGATAGCAACAGTGTTCAAAGAAATCCTCACACTTTCTTCAGGCATGCCAACTTTTGCAGAGAAATATGATCCCTTATCTTGAGCTGGTAGCTACAAGATTGTGTGCCCCTATGGGCGACTTTATGTTGATGGGATATGCCAGTCTATTCGAGAAATACTGGGGGAACACAAAAATGCTTGTAAAGGAAGCTGGGTCCAACGGTGGTCGCAGTCTCCTTTCGTTTTATATAAGTTGTTTGACCTTGTTTTCGCAACTTGGTCCTATTGGTAGGAAGACTTAGAGGAACGCATCTGGTCTATTGTATGCATCATCATTTCCGGAGTAGGACCGTGGACGTGGTACATTCCCAGACGTTTCGCTGGCCTCGTCAGTGAGTATCGCCATTCTTAGCACCATACCACAACTTGTCAAAGGGACAAGTAAGCCTGTCCTTTGACCAAACGTGTGGTATCTCCCCTTCTGCCCTGGCCTATTCACATTTCCTATATCCTCCTATCGCACCTTCACTGTTACCATTTTTTGGGAATGTACCACGTCCACGGTTCAACTTTGGTAATGATTATGTATACAATGGACTCCGGACAAACTGTGTTCCTCTTAGTCTTCCTACCAAAATGACCGAGTTGCGAAAACAAGGTCAAACAACTTCCATACAACGAAAGGAGACTGCGGCCACACAAAAGGCCACACCATCTTGGTCTTCATAACGTTGACTTTAGTTCGGTTTTGTTCTTTTTACTCTTTATCAAAGCTACATGAGATAAGCATGGTATATCAAATAAAAAATAAGAAAGAGGCTGTTGGGGCAGTCGTACTTTATCGTGTACATGATGGAATTGGGCCTTTGGATTGCATTATCTGAATGACTAACAGACACTCATTTATTCTGTCGATCACGAGCTTGTTCGTTAAAAACAGTGCCTATTCACTTTGATACCAGTTGCTAGTTTCCGGTCCACGGGTCACTTTTACGCCGGTCTTCATGACCTACGACCTTTGTTGAGTGCCGACGGTATGCGATTCTTCACTCGCGTTTCGCCGATATCCTATTCGAGGAAAGACGGGTCAGATAAAGTAGCCATTTATTCCATAATGGCTTTTCGACTCAGTCATTGGCCATCAAAAATCAAATCTTCAATCCGTGCCTTTCTCAATCAGAATGTTGCTCTGTCAAAAATGTATATTATGAACGACTTGGCTTCAGCGAATTGCATGAGAGTTTCACTTTGAAAATTCTGGTGGTAGGTATACGCGAGTTGGTTTCATCAGACCTTCTAAAAGGATTACTTTGGAGTTTGGGGCACCTTTCCCTCCATCATCGAGGAATCTTTCATGATCTTTCTCTTCTTTCGAACTAAGCATTTTGCTTTATACCTCATCATAAAGCATAGATTTAGGTTATACATATGACTCGTCAGCTTGAATATAATTGTAAGAATGGTACTCTGGTCTGATGATATCCTTCGTATGATGGAAGAAAGCTTAGCATGCTTTATCCGGAATCGAAAGTGATTGTTTCGAGGACAGCCTCAACCAGAATGTTTCAGCAAAGCTGACCGACAAATAGTCAAGAAGAATCTGCTTTCTTCTTCCGGTGGGATCCACTTTCGAATGTTTCATTCACACACTTTCATTCGAAAGGTAAATAAGCTCAATAATCTTTTGTCTCACCATGGCAGGTGTCGAACAAGTATTGACAGACTATCTTTTCACCAACCCCACACGAGGTTATTGGTCGTAATCACACCAACTTTGCATAGCCCTAACCAAAGTAGGCGGCCCCAATTCGGAATATTGAGAGTCTAAAATAAGAAATTAGTCACCTGATAGTCGAGTTTTATGCAAATCTCATGATCCCGTTGGATTTCACTTAGCCTAGCCTTCCAAATCCCGCTGGAAGTGCTGAGGGAACCAAGGCGGGGTTAAGACTACAGTCCATCCTGGAGGAGAACACATTCTAGCAGGGTAGATTGAGTGAAATGAAATGACATTGTGAGGCCTACTAATCTCATTTTTGATCGAAGCTATGAAGGCCAAGATGGTGTGGCCTCCGGTATAGTCGCAGTCTCCTTGCGATTTATAGAAGTGGGTTGACCTCGTTGTCGCAACTTGATCTTGTTGTCAGGATGACTTAGTAGAACGCACCTAGTCCGAAGTCGTCTGCCATAGTAGTTATCCTAATTCCCAACATCAGACAATGGAGTTGGTACATTCTCAGACATTTCGCCCACATCGTAGTCGGCATCACCAATGAGTTTTGCCATTCTCAGCACGAAGCTACAATCAATCAAAGAGATAAGTGAAGCCAATACCTCAGCCAACGTTCTGCCGAAAACGGTTACACTATCACTCCTCTTTCTGTCCTGGCCTATATACACTCTTTACCCTCTTCTCCCATTGCCGCCCTATCACATATTTTTCACTTGTTCACATTCAAATCGTCAAAATTTGTGCCCTTTTGTGGCAAATCTAGTGTGGCCTCATCATACTTACTATTCACTCCGAACCCTTCTCTTTCGATTGGCCAATCCGACTCGGGCCTCCAATCCGGATCTCTCTCATGGTCCCGTAGATCCGTTCCTTCCCTTTCTGGTTGACCCATTTCACTCGGTCCCAGTCCCAGTGTACGTTTTACTTCAAGCGCTATTTCTCGAGGGCTTAGAAGCATGTACACCGCCGCCTCATCGAGAAGTGTCTGGAACCGAGTGAAATCGGTTAAGGAACGGATCTGCGAGACAATGAGGCGATCCGGATTAGAGGCCCGAGTCGGAGAAACCCATCGAAAAAGAGGGGGTCGGGGTGAACAGCAAGTGTGATGAGGCCACACTAGATTTGCAACAAAAGGGCACACATTTTGACAAGTGGATTGCAAACAAGTGATAGGTTGTGATACTTACGGCAGTGGGAGAAGAGGGCGAAGAGTAGATAGATAGACAATGACAGAAAGAGGAGTGATAGTGTAACCGTTTCAGGCAGAACGGTTGTCGAGGGATTGACTTGACTTGTCTCTTTTACGAGTTCGTGGTTTGGTGCGGAGAATGGCAAAATTGACTGATGATGCCGACTACGATGTTGGCGAAAGGTCTGAGAGTGTACCAACTCCACAATCTGATGCTGGGAATCAAGACAACTACTATGGCAGACGACTTCGGACTTGGTGCGTTCTACATCGTCGCCCTGACAACAAGACCAAGTTGCGAAAACGAGGTCAACCAACTTCAAAACTATCATTCTATTTTTCATTCTAACCCACATATGCTGAACAAATTCTTAGATCGTAGATATGATGACCAAGATGTTGTGGCTTTCTCTCTGGTTACAGTCTCCTTTAGCTTTATAGTGTTGACTTAATCTAATTTTCGCAATTTTTTCGTAGCGTCAAACAGACCTTGTGGAACTTACGAAATCTTACGTCTTCTGCCATATTATTGGCGGTCTCAAGTTTTGGGCTATTGATTCGGTACATTCCGATGTATTTTGCCGACATCTTCATTGAGAGCTGCCATAATCAGCACAGTTACAATTTATCAAAAGTGACAAGAAAAGGCAACCTCCTTGATCATCTTTCGCTCCTTTTATTTGTTTTATCTTCTATTGCTGCATCTGTTTCTTTCAACTCCACTGCATATCGCTCATTTACTTATTCACACCATTCAATTGTTCGAGGTAAAAAAAATAATTTACTACCAGTAAATCAGTAGTATGAGAGGTATTCATCCAATTTCGACTGGTAGAAGAATTTTCCCACAATGATATGAGTTGGCCTGACGTTTTCATTAAATTTCACAAGACCTTGCTTTCCCAAAAGTTGATCTCATCCAGGCACCAGGGGATTGCAGTTTCGACCTCGCATCGGTCCTATCAACACCCCCAACGGGAGTCGAACCGCGACACGCTAACCACTCGGTCACACAGAGCAAGGCTATGTGAAATTCAATTGAAACGTCAACTCTACTCATATGATTGTGGGAAAATTCTACTACCAGTCCATCATCACCTTAAACGAAATTGGATGAATACATCTCATATTAAAAAATAATTGTCACTGCTCAATTGTAATTATATGCTAACGACGACACCTCTCAGGGACGAATCCGGCGAAATGTCTGCAAATGTGCCAAGTCAATGGTCGGGTGCTAGAAATCATGAATACTATGACAGAGCATACAGGACTAGGAGCGTTCTACAAGGATTCTCTGATGCTCAGATGCTCGAAATTTTCTGAAAATTATGGAGAGTCGAGGCTAATCGTAGTTTCGAGTCGAGAGAAATTAACACAATGAGCAACGTCTGGGACTGTTAAGTGCTTTTCTCTCTACATGTGCAGAATTGACTACAAATCATTTGGCATCTCATTGCAACTGAAACTTGGGTCGACCAGCTTTCCCAATCTAGACGTTTATGGAGGGTTTTGCTGAAGAATTCTCCTCGCTCCAATCATATTTGTCCTGGCGGGACAGACGGAAGCTCATCTTTGATGCGCCAGAGTCAGAGGACTGTGTGTTGCGGACTGTTGCTTCCTCATTCGAGGAAAATGAAGTGGCGATGAATAAAAATACATATCACATCGATTTTACCAGAAGACACAGCAACGCATTTTACGGATTCTCTGAATTCCTTAATATTCACTAATCTCATTTGTCTTATTTGACGCAGCACTAACATTGCTTTCAATCCTCTGTTCTGCGTTTGCATGGATCACCCTACTAAAACGGATTCCTTCCGACAGGCTGACTAAGCATTTTTCTTCAAAATGCGCTTCAAAATATGCCTATTGTTTAAAATATCCCTTTTCGCGCCCTCGTCTCTTTATCATCCCCCCTTTTGTCTCATTCTTGTATCTTTATTTATTTTCTCTCTTTTAATAGCTCCTATCTCCTTTCTCAAATGCACCCAGAAACCGTCTGCAACACTCAAAAACAATCTGGCCAGAATAGCTACTTCAAAACGGATAAACCTTAAGTATTGCGGTGCTTGGACACTTTTTCATGCACCTACTGTTGCCAGCCTCGCATAACCCTTAGCTCTGCATTGCTGAGCTCCATATTGGATGACAAGAGTGGCTCCATTTGGGCGAAAGTGCAGTACTGACGCTGCGCGATGCCGCAGACATAAATACATCATCTGTACCTTTTCGCGTCGTGTGCAGAGAATTGTTCACCTCTTAACTGCGAGATTTATCAAAGCATGCAGCATTTTGCCTCAATCAACGCCACTTTGCATTTATTTGCCAGTCGTAATTGGTCTGATACTGGTTCTGTCCGCATTGGATCACGACTAAGGCAACACTTGGCGCTTCTTCCCCTATCTTGCCTTTATCTGGCTTGCAATTGTGAGGCAATTTGCTGCTGAATATCAATCAGCTAATGCTAATTTGTCATCATTAAACGATAGTCTAACTGGACTTGAGTGCAGGAAATGTAATGAAAGTTGAAATGTGTCCACTCGCGACGGTCTAGCTTGGATATTGTTTTAAGAAGGGGCTCTTCAAAGTCTTTCTGCACCATAGCCGAGTCGTGAAGATGGTGTCGAATAAATGCTGAGGCTCTTAGTGCTTGCTGTACAAATGAGCTCAACTTGTAATCTCATCGCATCTTTATTTGATCTTTATTTGGTAAAATTTCACTCTTCTACACACACTCTTGCATTCTTGTCATGTGCTTTTGCGACTTTAGGAATTCGAGAGTCTGACTCCTGTAAAGTCGGCCTTCTTCAAGTACAACCTGGACCTCGTGACACACAAACAGGCTGTCATCTCAACTGTCGACCCCGAGGTCTGTGTGGTCATCGCTTTTCCACCCATCGCCGAACAGCCGCTCTCGTTCACATTCAGCTTGGCCATGGACAACCAGGAGGCCTCCGAGGAGTTCCAGGGCCTGCCTTTGAGGTGAGAGTATAGAAGCAAACGTTGCTTTGATTGCGGCATACATTTCATTTCGTTTTGACAAGGCGGGTTCACGCTTTTGTCCATCATGTGACCAATATCGTCACTAACGGAAAGCATTAGTTACAAATAATCAGCAAAAAACACAAAACCAAATTATACTTACTTCTTATACCTAACCATGCGATCTCAACGAGGCATTCCATGCTTTGGTCGGCTGCTTTATGCTTGTCCTGCTTATTTTCATTTCGAGTGAAAGTAATTTGATTAGCTTGAATTTGGTTGTGACGATGATACCTTGCTCTGATGGTGTTCGGACGAAAACTTAGCATCTTTTCACCGGAATCGAAGGAGATTACTTTGAAAACAGCGTCGGCATGTATCTTCCAGTAAAGCCAATCGACAGCTGGTCAAGAGGAATCCGCCGTCGTCTTCTGGTGAAACCGACCTTTCAATCTCTTCACCAAACACTTTCACTCTAAATGTAAGTCAGCACAACGATTATGAAACATGATATTACTCGAAACCCAACTTTTCTTTGCTTTATGTTTCTTCAAAACACAGCTTCTCTTCACATCTCAGAAACGTTGCTTTGTCGTGTCCACTTTTAGAGGGAACTGATCGTAAAGCGATCAGCTCCTTAGTTTAATAGCTCCACTATCTTGTCACTTTGGTAGATTGGGCTCTCATCTTGTAGAAGAATCGGTCCTTGTCTTCCTCTGTGCTCTGCTGCTCAAACGAACGAACAAACTCGTCTATTACATGTGAGATTAGCTGGTCAGCACAATCAGGACGGTAAAACCGAATTGAAAGAAAGCACTATAGTTCATGTAATAGGACTCGTGGTGTTGTGTAGCCCGGACTCGAATCCCGTTTCGGGTGCCGATGAGACCCGAACCAGATAGAAACCGTAGTCAGGCTTAGAGAAGGAAGCCAAGTTTGGAAACTAATTAA